GACGCGGTATTTCAGCGGCAACGGGCCGTTCTGCAAGAGGGAGAGGGGGGCAAAAGCCGTGGCACCTCCAACCCCACAAGGGCACCGGTCGCCAGCCCCAGGGAAAGGCGAAGAAAAGCAGCTGCAGCACCCCCCAAGAGCCCCTAAAAACCACGCTGGGAGCAAAGACCTTTGTAAGGAGGGGGCATCTGGGGTTTTCCTTTGTTGAAGCTTTCCATGTTTTAACCTCTCCAATTTTTAGGCTCTCCCAATTGTGAAGCTCTCAAGTTTTGAAGCTCTCCAATTTTGAAGCTCTCAAATTTTGAAGCTCTCCAATTTTGAGGCTCTCCAGATTTTAAGCTCTCCAGGTTTTAAGCTCTCCAGGTTTTAAGCTCTCCAGGTTTTAAGCTCTCCAATTCTTTTCAATTCTTAAGTTTTTCAATTTCTTCAAATTTCGAGTTTTATGCCTTTTCAACTTTTTTTTTTTTTTTTTAATAATGCCTTTAAGCCTTCCCTCAAAGGACTGCTTTTCCAAGCTTCTCTCCCCAGACAAGTCCCGGCAGCAGGGAAGGAGGCAGCTCCTGCTTACCCTCCTCCAGGGGTAGATGTAGGTGATGTCCATCAGGGTGTAATACTCCTTCAGGGGTTCGTCTTCGTAGAGCACTTCCACCTGGGGCAGGGGACAGCAGCATCACTCCCCAGGTGGGGGGGCGGGGGGCATGTCCCCCCCCCTCCCCCCGGAGCCGCTCATCGAGGCTCCTCCATCCCCGAGTCCGGCACTCCCCTGCCTCTCCCTCGCTAAAAGCTGCGGCAAATGCCACTCGTGGGCATCAAAATAATGATAATAAGGGACGGATCCCACCCCCCAGCACCCACCCGCCAGGGGTGCAAAGCTCAGGCAGCACAAAATAAGAGTCACGATGGTTGGGAGCAAACGAAGCCCGACACGGGGTGGCCAAAAAGGCATCAGTCCCCCTCCGAGGCTCACCTTGTACTTGCTGGGCACGTCCATCTTGTTGCGCAGGAACTTGGCCAAGTGCATGACGGTCATCGCGGCGGGACAGCGCAGGAACCGCACCCCGTTCTTCTGGGGACGCAGCGGGAGAGGCGTTGCTGAGAGTCCGCCGGGCAATTAATGGGCAGTTCCCGCCTCCTCCAGGTGCAGGGGTGCCCTCCTGTCCCCCCGCGCGCCCCAAAAGCCCGGGACATGGAGCTCTCCATGCCCGTCACACTCACCTTCTCCTTCTCCAGGTCCCCGTTCTCGACGGTCGCCGCCTTCTCTTCTCTGAGGTGGGGAAAGCAAACAGAGGATGATGTTCACAGAGGAATAAAAGGGCAGAAAGAAAAAATATCCTACAAGAAGGGCTGCCCACGGCGGGGCTGCGAGGGGAACGTCCAGCCCTTCAGCCAAGCTCTGGTTGGGCCAAACCCCCGTCGCTGCATTTCTGAGCCAGAGCTGCATCCACTGCCCGGGGCTCCGAACCTCC